GGCAGGGTTAAGATATCTGTGTATTTAACAAAAGCTTAAAAAAAAAAGTATTTTTTAAACTATAAAAAGAAATGGAGCACATTTCAGTGATCGTGCCCAGTAGGCACTGGAGTATGAAGTGGAGGTGGTCTCCCAGCCCCACTGCTACATTCCCAGCACCCCTGCCCCGAGAGAATTTTTTCCGACTGAAAGATATAGGTGCAAGTTTGATCACCTTTAAGAAGTAGGAAATTGTACCACACTTTTTTCTTGGGTTAAAATTATTTCTAATTTAGTTGGTTTAGATTTTGTTGATGATAAAGAGATCTGGGTTACGAGTGAAGCACAGCCAGAAGTGCAGAATTCCATAGAAATACAGGATAACCACAGAAAATAGCAGAAAATATTTCTACGGTCCTATGATCATTCTTTCAATGGAATTTAATTCTAGTTGTTTTGTACAACAGTATTTTTCCCTCACTGGAGTAGATTCTGCGTCATCATTTTCTGTAATTGGATTTCACTGTTTTAAGTTTTAGATACTATCTCGAAGCAGTCGGTGAGTATACGCTATTCTCCTTGCTCATAATATTTCCACTCCCAAAATGCACCCTCTTTGCAGGTTAAAGGCTAACCATGCCAGGACTCAAATCTTTTCACTTCTTTCTGCCGCGGAAGTTTTGGTATCTCTGTGTTTTGTTCAAAAGCAGAGGTGTTTCACTTCTCTTTGGGAATGGGGCTGGCAAGGAGAGGGGCGGGAGGCTGGAAAGGAAGGTTGCAGTGCAGTGCAATTCTCTCCATCCTCCTCACTCCCAAGTTGGAGCTTATTTGAAATTAGTACTTTCTCTTACCATTTCACTGTCAGCGGTTGGCAATTTTGCTATCCCAGGGGACATCTCTCGGTCCTTGGGAGGAACAGGTAACAGAGGATCCCTAAAAGCTGACTTACTGGGATTGGTGGAAAAGGAAAGCTGACAGCTGGCAGGCAGTTGAGCAATTCACACCACATCAGCTTTGCTTTTCGGATATAAAAGGCATGCATTGCAAGGCTCTTCAGTGCTTTACTTTCCTCTCTTGTTTTTAGAAGATTTTTATGTTTAATTTTTGTAGATTTTTTGAAGTTTAAAACCAGACCTTCCTTTATATGTGTATGCTTTTCTGAATGCGATTCCTGGATGAAGGAGAAAACATGTCACCAAATATAGCAAAGGGATGTAGTGTTTTAAAAATTGCTGTGCTCAGAGAACTACTTTGTTATTGATTGATTGATGAAAATGGAAATAATGCTTAGCTATAATGTTAAACTTTACTAAGCTTGAAGGTTGCTCCGAGGACTTGACTTATAACAACATATTCATGATAGCTTTTTGTATGAGCACAGAGAAGACAACTTTTGGCACAGATCTATGGCCAGCAAGACATAGGGGCAGATTTTCTGCTTAACCAAATGATCTTCTGATGCTGTGTTAGGATCTGGCCTGTGGCAGGAATGAGAAATGGTGCCGCTAAATGTCACAATATTGATCACAATTATTACCTTTGAGAAGGGGTCACATAAGACGTCTGGGGCTCTGTGAACTCAGCGGCGTGAACGGTTCTTGATGAGATTAACGATGAAGATGTCGAGGCAGCAGGAGCTGTGAGATTATGGAGCATGCTTATGGGGCACTGTCGGACAAATGGGTTTTGAAGTCATCTGCTAGGAACCATGGCAGAGGGCTAGCAGTTAGTTTTTGGATAGAATACAGTTTGGAAGAAAGGATGTGATTTTAATTTCTTTCACGTTCCAGATGTAAAGAGAGGACTGGCATTCAGCTTTGAGGAAAATTCACTAAACTTGAAAGACAAATGCTTTTCATACGGTTGTAGTGTTGCAGGGAAAGAAACTATTTTAGGAATATGGGGAGGGTTAGAGCTTTCCGACATGCAGAAAACTATTAAGTTGTGTTTACGATGATGTGTTTATGGTTGAGCCGTACGGTGTCAGACCGTGGCGTGAGTTGGGACCACGCAGAGGAGGACGCAGGCGCGGATCTGCTCTTCGTCCTGCGTAGGTGCAACCCTGAGAGTCTCATCCCGTTTTGCTAATTCAGCTAAGTAATTTTGGGACGTATTGTTCGGAGTCTTTCTTGATAAGTACTAGCAAGCAGGTAATCCCAACAGTCTTGTGGATAGTAAAATGATTTCCGTAGTTTCAGTGTGGTATCCTTACTGACAGTTGGTAGAAGCAGCTTAATAAACTGCGTAAGCAATTGGCATGCACTGCAAACTTCAGTTTTACTCTCTGAATCTTAAAAGCATTAGATGTTTCTTCCAATTTAATATTTGCATAATGGATATGGATGGCAGGATATGCTGCTGCCAGGCAGCTCTCAGCAGCCTCTAACAGGCTAGTGTAGACTTCCAGAGCAACGGCGTTTTTCCACTCACGTTATCCATCTTGTGCCAAATATGCTGAGCCTCCGTTTTAGCACAAGGCACTAATAAAAGTTGTGGGTTTGGTCCTGTTTCCCCAGCTCCACACGCTGTGTTTGGGGCCCGAGGGTGGACGAGGCGGTGAGTGTGATGATGTGATTCACCTTGCCCCTGCTCCCGTCCTCGCTGGTCCTGCTGTAGCAGTATGGGAGAGGAGTCCTCCACTCTGCCTCTCCCTCTCTCTGGTTTTTAAATCCTTTCACTAATGTTCCCTCTCATGGTAAAGAACAAGATGGAAATGAATTCTTGGGCCATTGTTGCTGATTTCCTCCAGTTAGAGGATCAGTAGAAGAGCACCATTGTCACTGAATTTCATACAGGCAGCTGCGGAAGGCAAAATCTCCCGTCTTGTTCGTGCTGGGTACAGTAATGCTTTAGCCTTCTGCGCAGTGTATGTGCAGTCCAGTTTTTGGCAAGTGTTCCACAGGCGCGTTGCATTATTTCCTCTTCTACTTCGCTCCGTTCTCTTCTCCTCCCCCTTGGCTTACTCTCTGGAAATGCATTTTTTTTTTCAGCTCTCGTATCTGCTTGCTGACACGGCACTTTGGTTTGCATGTTAACGTGGTTGATCTTTTCAGAAAGCAATTTTAAATGGTTGTTCAGTTATCGCGTGTGCGAGTGAGCTGATAGACACAGGCCATTTAAAACTGTGTAAAATATCAGAATTAGAAAAATGCCTTCTACACTCCTATTATTTCCTTCTTGTTCTGGAAGGGAACAAACAATTTACAGCTTTTAGGTTTTGACAGCTTTTAGCACTTTTCTCGGTGCGGTGTAAAATAGTTCCTTCATGTTGCTGTCCATTATCAACTCCCTGAATTTTTGGTGAGGTTGGGCCTGTGTTTCTATTGACGTCGGAGCTGAGCAGGCATCCCCGGCCAGGGCTGAGGGGTTTGTGAAAGCCAGGCAGTCCTCCTTCTGTACGCCTCTGAGTCGCTGAATTCAGTCTTCAGCAAAAAGTCAGTCATGTGAGCTCGCGCTTTTTAACCTTATGAAACAGGGGCGGGTTTTTTGTTGATTGTGTGGTTTATTTGGCTTTCTGAAGCTCTCAAATCTGCCACTTTGGGACCCTGTGCCTTTTGTTCTCTTCTTCTGGGCTAGAGGTGCACATTCAGTGTGTGGGGCACAGCACAGTTTTCACATATCATGAGCAAGATAGAATCAAAAATCTACAATATGTCCACAAGAACTGTGTAGAGAACAGCTATTTTGTTAGCTCAGAATTTTACAATCCTTTGTAAAAGAAATTTGAGGGAAAAAATTATTTCAGTTGATTGTAAATAGCTGGATTTTGGGTTTGGGGTTTTTTTTGGGTTGGTTTTTTTGGTTGTTTTGGTTTTTTCTGTCTCTCTGTTTGGTACTGTGTTAATACTAATGTTTCAAAACAGAAGTCTAAACATTTGATACTGTCCGAATGTGGTTTTTTGCTTTTCCGTGTACACGGAACTGCTTGGGGCAGCCCACTGTGTCAGCGCCTGGCTCTGGTAGAGGTTTCCTGACCATTTCTGTTTCACTAGAGCTTTCTCAGTTAGGCCTCTACCACCTCTGTTGCCTTCATTGACCTCTTCTGAAACCAACCTTCTCATATAATTGTTTTGGAGTATGCATACGCTCGTGATCAAGGAGGCTTAAGTCTATATCTGAATCTTTTTGCAGCTGTCCTAATTTGGGGGTGGTTGGAGTGTAGGAAAAAACATCCGTTTTCTGTCATGCCTGCAAAAAGTAAAAAAAGTCTAGGGGTGTTTTCACCCTTTTCCACACTAAAGTATAATATGAACATAAATCATAAGCCATTGTAACCCATGTGGCAACTTGGTATCTTATCCTGGAGGTCACCTGGTCTGCTCTTAAATCTGTTGAGTTACTGTCTAAAGATGCATAATGGCTTCCAGGAGAAGAAACTTCTTTTTAAAATTATTTCAAACTTTCATGGAAGCTGTGGTGTAATAGGAAGCCTTTAAGCAGGGAGAAACAAACTTGTGCACTTTCCTTCCCATGTAGGTAGCCCTGTCTGATTTTCTTTCAGGTGCCAATAATACTGAACAGAATGACCTCACATCCGTGCCCTTCTGCTCCCCACTTTGCGCTCAAACTGGCTGTCACTCAGTTTCCATGCCTGGTACAAAACAGCATCCCCCTTGTCTTGAAGTCAGCCCTGAGGCTTCAGCTTGAGGTCCTTTTTGGTCACTGTGTAGGAATTGTGCATGTTTGATGGAGTCAAAACCTTTGGAATCTGAATGCTAACAAGTCTCAAGTGAATACGGGTTAATGAGGTCTTGCAGTGGTCTGTGAACAGGCTGAATTTGGATGGGTGGGTTTCTGCAGGACAGCAAGGTCACCGTGCTGGGCAGCAGTACTCCTCTGTGTTGACACTCTACCCGTTAGATAACACCAATATTTAAAATTGCAAAAAGATAAATCCCACTAAGTTTCTCAGCGTTTCTTTATTTACATTAATTAAATGTAATTTTAGGTGTTACTATCTTCTCTAATATGTGCAGCTAAATGACTGTCATCATTTGTTCATGTTTTTGTTTCTCTGGTAGAAAAGAGTGGTGGAACAGCTTCGAAAGAATTTGATAGTGAAGCAGGAACAGCCGGACAGTAAGTTTCAAATACAGCCGTTGGCACAGTCAGAAAACAAACTACAGACACCACAGCCACAACCACTACAGCAGCTACAGCAACACCATCATCAACAGCAGCAGCAGTCTACTGCACCCTCTCCAAACGTGATTGGATCACAGGTAAAAATCTCTGCAGTAGTTCTTTTCCTTGCTGAAGGTGAAGTTCCCCGGGGAAAAAAAAAAAAAACCCAACCAAAAAAAAACCAAAACAACAACGAAGACAAAGATGCAGAGAGAAAATTACAAACTTTCACTTACACCCGTTAGTGTACCGATATGAATTTCTCCTTTTATGCATATGCACACAGGGGTCTTGTGGTTTCTTTTCAGCAATAACCTCCTATCTCAGTCAAAAAAACCCCAAACCCAAAGTAGTGTTTAAAAGTGAGATCATAACCTCACTGAAAAGAAGGGTGGCGGTATCACCTTTTTTAAAAATAAATCAAAATTTAGCAAATGACCTTATATTTTCCATAGGTGCATGAATGATTTTCTGTCCAAAGCCAGTAGGTCTGAAGAACCAGTAAAGACTTTACATGCGCTGCGTGGGGTGTACGATTAATTCCTTTTTCAGAGGCAAACAGAGTGCTCACTGTGTCTGTGAAAAAAACGTAAGAAAACAGTTCCCTCTTTTGCTTGGTTCTTTTTAAGCAGATGTAACTTGCATCAAACAATACTTACCTGAGTCTTCAAGGGTTAGTCTAAAAGTGCACAGTGGTGATTGCGAGATTCAAATTGAGAGATTCAAAGTCTCTCCTGTTCAAATATTTAGAAGCCCCAAAGTGTGCCAGTGAAACAGGAAGAAAGCTCAGGGAGCTCTTCTGTCAGAAGTGCACGTGAGGTCTTTTTTCCCTGTTGATGCACGCTCAGCAGTTCACGTTTGCCTGGGCAGGCAGATGGCAGAATTGACCCATGAAGCTCGCTTTATGCACATTGCAGCGCATCACAACCATAGCTTTGAGCGATGGTGGTTCTTCTCTTCTCTTGCCCTGGAAACGAGAGGGGACAAGAGGCTGGGCTGTGAGTTTTCTCGTTAACTCAACAGGTTGTTTTGGATGCTGTCTAAAAATGTATTTGAGAAACGTAGGTAATTGTATTTTTGATAAAAGAATATGGAAGAAATTAAGCAAACTCAACTAAGGAAAAGGCATTTTTGAGCAGCAACACACGTATCAAAGCTAAAACACAATAAAGGAGTAAATATTACTGTGTCCTAAGATATTTACAAGCCAACAATGGATCACTATTTGCTGTATCACTGGTCTCAGTTTTTCAGTCAGGAAGCATGACTGCAAAAGCAGTTTCATGCATTTCTCCATATTCCACACTTTGCATTCATGCATTAACTTCCAGGTCATCTCCTGGGTTGTAAAAATTGAGGTTTTGTTCAAAGTTAAAGAGCCCTCTAGTGAAAGAGTCAAAAAACTGCTACACCCTTCTGGCTATCATTGATACAGTTGTACGTGGAAAGTAATTCTAAACTGAAAGGCAGATCATCCTCTCATTTGGATAAATAAGCCAAATTTTATCCTTTACACTTTTCTATTTTTATTTATGTTGGTGTAATTCTGAAGTAACCTAACTTCTGTACACGTTTTGCAACTAAGGTTATGCCTCTGTCCTGCTGCCCCTCAATCTCTTTCAGCAAAGAAAAGTAAAATATTTTGTCTCTCCAGAAAGTGTTTTGTGCCTAATTTTGTAAATAATATATCTTTCAAGGCTGTGTCCATACAGGGAATGCTTACAGTGGTTATTTTCAGAGTAATTCAATTTAGAAATCAAGGTATATATGCTGCCTTAGTAGTGACATTTTAATATATTTAATACAGTCCACTAAGGAGGGCTTTTTAAATTTTCATACAGCAGCAAGCCTGGATATTGTTGCAATGTTATTATGTGAAATAATGCAGACTTACTATGAATGCCATTTTTGTATGAATTCATGCATTGAAAACTTTTGAGAATAACCAAGGTAATTAATTAATGCTCAGCAGAGTAACAGAGATGTTCCAGCTCTGTGATCTGCTGACTGAAACTATACTTTTAGTACTTGCAGGCTTACTAGAAAATCTTGCAGGAGTCACAGTCTTGTATTACATGATTGATTACACTTTTCTTTAAAATGTTTATGGATGAATGTAATGCTTGTGAAAATGATACCGTTACCGTGTTACATCTCATTGGAATAATATTACTGCATTAGGAGAACGGAACCTCTTGGTTGGGAGAAGGTGCAGCAGAGGTCAATAAGAAGCTCTAGAATCTCAGATAAATGGTTGAGGGTATTGTTCATGTTGTGACAAGAAAAAGTTAATTGTATCTGGATTTTGTATAAATGTGTAAAATTGAAACACAAGTTATCCCTTGATTTGGCATTGTACAGTGTTTGAATTTTTTTTCACGCTTGAGCATAGTTGACAGTTGGGGATATAGTTTAAGCATTCTGAAGTTAGAGGTGTGAAGGTAAACTACGTTTTTGTTTAAGGAAATAATATTCGTAAAAATACTGAAGAGTTCAACTGGAAACATATTAATATTATTTTAGTAGAAAGAAGAGAAAGGTCTTGTGTGATTAAAATCAAGCAGTCTAAATGAGGCATGCTCAGTAGATGAAAAAGACCTCCTGAGCCCTGGTGCTCCATTTTTTGCTGTTGTAGACCCTAGTGCTGACATCAGGAGGGAATGGTGGTTATTTCATATGAAGAGCACTAGATTGTGCCAGTAACTGTTTTAAAGATGTAGTGGCCGTGGTACAATAGATGTTTTACACCGAAGAGAAAAGAAATAAGCTCACTTGCCATTCTGTTGAGTGTCACTTGTCATGAGTTTCCTGTGCACGTTGTGTTCTGGTTTTATATGGAGACCCTCTTGCCTTGTTGCTTTTTGAATGACATTCTTAATTGTCCGTTTACCTTAACATCTTAGAAGGCAGTACATTTTAAAACAAAACTGTGGAATTATAGTTGTTTTAACTTTGGAATTTGTGGGCATAGCATATTCAGGCTTTTCAGGTAAATGCTGGCGTTGATTCCAAACCACTGTCTTTAAAGCAGGCCGAGAGCAGTCATGGCGTAACATATATGTTCCAAAACCACCCCATTTCACAGAAGTTAAACTAAACTGCCTGCAGCAGGACAGACTCTTGTAACAGCCGGCTCTTGTAATTTCAGGATAGCCCTACTGATATTCTTAGGAAGGACAATTGAGGGCTGAATAACTGTATGTATGGCTAAAACTGAAATTTGGGAGACCAAAAATCAAAATATGTTTTTGTTCTTAAAGGAACCAGTTTATAAATGTTTCTCCCTCTTCCTCGGACTGTGAGGCTCTCGGTAAATAAAGTTTCCATTTGAAAATTTTGGATTTAATTGATGAGAACTAGTTTGCTGTTATGTTTCATAAACCTCCACCTTATAGGCTTGATTTTGACAGTACATATTTGGAAGTAATATGAAACTAAAAGATCCAAAAATGCGTATCCCACGACTAACACTTGATTGTCCTTTTCTTGGGAATTTGTTTTGAATCAATCTGTAATGCTGCAGGTTATTAAAGTAGACCCAGCAGGTGCCCGAGATGAGAATCCTTTCTCATCTATCCAGTTTTCAGAGGCGTAAGATAATGTACTTGTGTGAACAACAGGTAGATAGACTCAGTGCTGCCTTTTCTTTCTCTCACTGTCTATTGTTTCTGACTAACCAACCCACGTCCTGTCTGATACAAAGTGTCTCTGTCTCTTACAGTGTATTTTCTGTTTCCCTTAGAAAACTGTAACTACAGCTTCTATGATCACCACTAAGACACTACCTCTCGTCTTGAAAGCAGCAACTGCGACCATGCCTGCCTCTGTTGTGGGTCAGAGACCTACCATTGCCATGGTTACTGCTATCAACAACAATCAGAAAGCAGTCCTCAGCACTGATGCGCAGAGTGCACCAGTCAACCTCCAGACAACAAATAAGGTCACTGGGCCAGGAGCTGAGGCAGTCCAAATAATGGCAAAAAACACAGTAACTTTGGTAAGCGTTTCGTGGTTTTGCCCGGCAGATACTGTGGATTTAGTTTACAAGAGGGCTACGGGACAAAAATAGTCAGGTTCCTGCGCAGAAAGGATAGTAGGGACCTGTCGTGAGTCTTGTTGACATTATTAAAATGGTAGCCTAAGAGGAAAGCATTTACTGTCTATATGGGTTGTTATTACTGTTTTGCTTCATAGAATTAAATCAGTGCTATCATCACCCCCCTGTAAAGTTTCCCCTGTGAGTAACTGTTAGTCATGGGGAAGCAGCAATTGTTTCGCCCCTATGTGGCTGTGTTCTGCAGGATTCATACTCTTGGGTAAAGGAGATGTCAGACTTTCTTCATTTGATCAGTTTAGGTTTTCATCTCAGATATTCTGGAGTCAATGTCATTCCCTTTACATGAGGAAGTCTCTAGTGTTAGACACCTCACTTAACTCTGTCCACTGCCATGTCTTCACTCACCACTTCTTCATACACGTATACAGAACCTGCTTCTTTGAGCATATATTTTGGACATCACACAGTCTTTTCCAGAATAGTTAGCCACCTAGAAATGAAAGAAGTGGTGTTCTAGAATTGGGCTATATAGGCTTCTTGGTCTGGAAACCAGCCATTGCATAGCATCGTGACAGGGAAATTTTACTTCTGGAGTAAAGGTTACGGCTTCACTAAACATAAATCCAATTTATCTTTATTGAAAAATAAGGTTTAATAATGCAAATGGAACTAAATTTGCTTCCTAATGAGACATATGTTTGCAATCAGAATAGAGAAGACTATGAGCGGAGTTTTTTCTACTGTTCTCTTTTCCCATGTCATCCCTTGCACCACTCTCATCTGTCCTTTGTGTCTGTGCTTCATTTCTTTGCTGAATAACTTACTTAGGTTTTGGGAGGTGATTCTGTTTTAATAATAGTCTCTGATTTATGTTTCTATAGCAAATTTCATCCAAAATCTCAGAATATTTTCCCAGGCATTAATTAATCAGTACAAGACCTTTTTGAAGTAAATTGCAGTCTTATGTGGATGGATAGAAGGGTGGAAACGAAGAGGGACATGAATTTCTGAGAATCTCACCGAGTACTTAACTTGGGGCAGCTAGCAGCTCTGTTCAGAGGTTAGCATGTGGCAGCTCCATCCAGCTGATTTCAGATAGACAGGGAAGTACTTAGGAGGCCTTAAAATCAGACCTTAATTGTTTCAAATGACTGGTCTACTTGTGAAAATTTCCAGTTGTGTATTTAGAGCCCTTCGTAGTGACAGTAATATTGCTGTAAGAGTTGTAACTTCCAGATCTTTTCTGTTTGCGTGAAATACCCTTTCATTCTTCTGCATGCCGTTCGGCACGAAGCGACAGCGGTTCATATAGCTGGACATCAAAGTTTGTTATTATTTTCTGTCTCTTGTAAAGCCAATCTTTAGCTATTAAAACAAATACGACTTTTCATTATCATCAAGTGAAAAGGGTTTAGGTTGCAAAGCACAGTAGTTTGTACAGTTGAACTAAAAGGAAAGGTACCATCGATTTAGGGTGTGTAGGAACTGGAAAGCGAGATTAGCTCTGTCTTTACTTCATTTCTCACGAGGAACCTGTTACTCTGCCAATTATTTACAGAGTTGAAAAACGGGGACGTCAGGTCTGAAAGTACATTCAGGATGTTGGTTTTGTTGAACAACTTCAAAGCTATTTTCCTCTCAGTGAACTCTTTCCTGTTGTTACAGCAGGTTCAGGCTACGCCTCAGCCCATAAAAGTGCCGCAGTTCATCCCTCCTCCCAGGCTTACTCCTCGTCCAAATTTTCTTCCACAGGTGAGTATACAGAGAACAAGCAATAGGAGAAGGAACTGGATTGTAGCATAGATAGGAGATAACTTTCTGCAAACATCATTTATGTCAGTCTTTATTGCTGACCTGGTGGGGGAGACCAGTCGTCCTCAACAGGTTTGCAGATGATGCCACATTTCAGGGTGTAGTCAATGTTCTTGACATTCAGGGGGCCCTAGACAGGATAGAGGGATGGGCTAGCAGGAGTCTCTTGAGATTCAGCACGGAAAAAGGCAAAGTCTGGAATGGACTAATTCCCCTGGGGACTGGTTGTCTGGGGAGCAGATCTGCTTAAAAAGTCTTGCATGAGAGTAGCTGAACTCGTGGTGTGTGCCCTGGCCGCAGAGAAGCCTAGCAGCATATTGGGCTGTACCAGCAGGACCACAGCCAGTAGGTTAAAGGAAGAAACGATACACCTTTCCTCAGCAGTCATAAAACTGGATCTGATATACAGCATGTGGTTTGGACCCCCAGTACCAGAAGGAAGTTGCTAAATTTGTGTGAATCCAGGGGAGGAAGGCCTCTGAGGTAGCTGGGCGGGGCAGGAATAGGGAAGCTGAGGGATCTGGGTTTGTTCGGTTTGGAGAAGAGGTTTTGGGGGCACCTTGACAGCAGCCTTCTTTCCAGTATGAGCAAGGAAATTAGTAAGAAGATGGAGACATAGGTGTTTGGCAGGAGAATTATAGACAATGGTTTTAAGTTGGAACAGGGAAGGTTTAGGCTGTGTATAAGTTAACAATTCTCTCTGAGGACAATTAGGACTGGAAGAGGTTTCCTGGAAATGTAGAAGCTCTGTCCTTGGAGTTTTACAAGACCTATCTGAACAGAGACTGGATCAACCTGGTCTGCATTTAGTGTTGGGCCTGCTCTGAGCAGGAAGTCAAATCAGACACCTCCTGAGCAGCCTCCCATCCTGCATGGATCTGTGATTATGCAGTTCGCATACGATGGTCATGTATGGTCCTATTTGCATCAAATGAAATGAACCCACGAAACAGGTGTCAGCAAAATCAAAGCATCACCCAAGGCCTTAAATTGCTCTAATTGTTTTCTGCTCGTGAGCAAAAGAAGGAAAAATGAGATGCCTGTGTTCCCAAGTATTTCTGTATTTCTACAGAGAGTGACTTCTGTTTGCAGCTGAGCAGCAAAACTTGTGGTTTACTTTTTTCCATGTTTTGGGAAAGACACAGATTGCTTCTTCATTTAAAAAAAAAAAAATCTTGAAGGAACTACTTCAATTATAAGAAATACATGGCACTGTGAATAAACATCTAAATCTTTTACAAAAGGAAAAAGGAAAGTATAGGCTGGTATCTGATTAAGATTTGGGGGTGGTGAGATCTGTTGGAATGTGAGCTACTTTTCCATAATAAGATGCAATATGGGGTATTAAAGGTATATAGGACAATAGAAATTAAATATGGAAAAAGACTTTATTTTCAGAGTAATACGGTTTACTTCTGTACTGTGTAATGATGTGATAAATACAAACTTAACAACGGGCAAGAAATAAGCAAGTATTGGTGGTGGAGGATTGGAAGATTCCTGTGGCTCTTCTGTTTCTTATGAAACAAGAAAAGAGTAATGGCTGCATTTACCTGTAGCCTTTAGCACTTTCAATGAGTGATTAATGTATAATCTTGACCTTTTTTTTTGTTTAGCAAGATTGGTTGTACAGCTGTCTAAATAATATATAGAGTTAACAAAGGTAACAGGGATTTGCTGAAAATTTTAATAATTTCTTTCAGGGCACAATCAGCTGTTCATGATTTCTTGGAGGCTCAGTATAAAGCCCCGAGACACGCTTTTACCATGAGAGCCTCAGCTGCGCCTGTAAATATTACATTACTTTTTTGGCTTGCAAAACCAATATGTTGATTTAGATAGATAAGGCACTTGGCAATAAACATGAAATATAAGTGTCTGCATCCAAATACCATTTCAGGGACAGTGACTCCCATATGCAAATGTTATGGATGGGTTTTATGCCAGTCGGTTTGAAAATGTGGCTTTTCCTTCTCATACTGGGGTACTTAGGACACTCTGCTAAAAATTACATTCTATTAAAAAAATCAAGCATTCTTCAGCAGATTATGTAGGAAGAAATGAAAGACTTGGTTAAAAGTTCATCAGAAATACTGATACACAAATCTCTCTCTAATTTTTCTCTTTTTTCTTTTTTTGTAGGTTCGACCTAAACCAGTTGCCCAAAACAACATTCCTATTGCCCCAGCACCTCCTCCTATGCTTGCCGCTCCTCAGCTCATTCAGAGGCCTGTGATGTTGACGACAAAGTTCACACCCACCTCTTTACCCAACTCTCAGAACTCCATACATCCTGTTCGTGTAGTTAACGGCCAGACAGCAACCATAGCCAAAACGTTCCCTATGGCACAGCTCACCAGCATTGTGATAGCAGCACCGGGTACCAGGCTCGCTGGACCGCAGACTGTACAGATCAGCAAACCAAACATTGAAAAACAGGTACAGATAAGCAAGCGTGTACTAATGCAGCGTACCGGGTTCATTGCTTTACTGTGCCAGTTTGGAGAGGCTGACAACCATGGAGAAATTTTCTGTGGGTACTGGAGATACGCCTGTTCCAACAACAGCACAAATTATGAAATGACTCGCAACTCTTGGGGCAGAAGTTACCCATTTTCCTTCATACGGCCCAATGGGATCTTTTTCTCATGCTTCAGTATTTTTATGCTCCCCCTGCTGTCTGCCTTAACTTCAGTGGTTTATAAGCCAGCTACACTGCAGGGCTGTGCTAGGATCTTGGGGACCCACGTGCAAACTGAAGTCCATGTTTGTATCGAGGCGTTAAGAAACACTGAAAAACTATTTTCTGTGTTTCTTTTTTTCAAAGGGTGGCTATGTGACAGGCAACAATGATGCAAAATCGTAGGGTATTTAATACCATAAACATCACCATTTTTTCCTTAGTTTTAAAGTCTCTCTCCAGAAAAGGCTTTTATAAAATAAAGCACGATTTCGGTCAGTGTGGATTGCAACGGAGTCCTTCCCATTCAACTCAAGCAAAGCAGTCTTCTGTTTCACTTTTAACTCTTTCATATATTATATGTTAGTATAATATTGTATACTATATAATACATAATCTATAATGTATACTACTTCTGTAATTTACATAAATCCTAGTAGTATCCCTTTCATTTATAACTCTATCATAGACTAATGCGCCTTGAAGTTACCTTCTGCTTTTGGAGTCACCTGTGGAGACTGCGAAAATCGTGTGCAGAGAAGAAACGCTTATGCTCAGTTCTGCTTAAGCAGTCTCATGAGTAGATTCTTGCATACCTCAGGGCTGTTCCACAAGTTGTTCAGCAGCGCGTGCCCTTTTCATATGATTTCAAGTTGCACTCCTACAACGCTATACTTTTGATGCCTATTCCTTTTGATGTCAGCAATATTCGTTTGCTCTTTGAATAGTAACTGGCAATTCGGCTGTTGAAAAACACACAGAAGAGTGGCAGTGGTTTAATAACACATGAATTTTTCTGTATATCTTCTCCATATCATAAAGGGTAAAAGTTTGTCTCTCTGTAGCTTACCTCACTCAGTTTGTAGCCTCAGAAGCTATGCCATGGGCTGAGGACTGTCATGCAGGGTTTGTGATGCCATGGCACAAAATCATGACTCCCGAAACATCCGACATCACAGGACTCAGAGAGACAGTTTTTGAGCCATTCATAATTCTCTGAAATATAAAGACTATGCCTGCGTCATGCAGAATGGTTTCTACCTGGAAGTCTTCCATGGGATACTTTTTCTTCAAGTGCCTGTTCGTTTTCCCATACTGTATAGTGATTTCTGTAACGGAGTTAACTCTTAAGATGACTTTTACTGCTTGCGTGGCTGCGTCGGTTAAGGGAATGGTGGTAAGGCTGTTTTCATCCTTTGTTAAAGGAAAATGCTTTATTTAATATTCCTTTCACGTCAGATTCCTCAAGTAAGTCTTTGTTAGTATACTGCCGGTGCTGAACTTTGTCCTGTAGCTGCGGAAGTATTTGTTTTGCTTTATTAGTCAAAGTAAAAAAAGTCATTCTTATCACTGAATGAAACACTGTTTCTTTTCAGACTATTAAACCACACGTGGAAGCAGAAGAGAAGCAAACAGAAAATCGTACAGTTACTCCACCTGCTGCACCGAAGCCAAAACGAGAAGAAAATCCACAGGTATCAGAACACACCCTGAGCTCCTTTTTAAGAAAAAAAGGAAACACACTGTTCTTCAGAAAACTTTGTCCCCCACTCTGTTCCCTCAGGACTCCTGAACTTTAACATTCCATA